CTATGAACTGTTGTTTGCCTAAGGTGATTTGGGTTGGTGATGGTACTTACCTTTGTGGTTTGGCCTGCATGTGACCGAGTGAGGCTACTACTTGGTCTGAGTTTCAGTTTGACAGGTAATTGCTTTAGAGGCTCGCCACGTGCTAGAGCAATAGGAGTTAGCTTCAACTCCTGCATTTTATGAGCTAAGTTTTTTTTACTTAAATCAATTCTCGCATTTTCTTAGATCTTTTGTTATACTTGGCTTTGTGTAAATTTTGGTAAGCTACTTTCCCTACGGGAAGCGCTGTCGAAATTTCTGCAAATCCAAGGAGTTAGTCAAATTTTGATTTGTCAAAGTTCAACTTGTCTAAAGTTTATATATGATTTGGTAAAAATCTGGAAAGTCTCATTTTCTAAAAGGAGTGCTGCCCAATTTTTTGCTAATTCAGGGAGTTAGACAAAATTGAACTTTGGAAAGTCGAAGGCTAGTTTTGGTTTCATAATCGGGCTGATATAAATTTTGAAAAGGCACTTTTCCTGCTGGAAGCGCTGCCGAAATTTTCTTGGTTTAAAGGAGGTAGATTATATCTTGACACTGGCGTTTCTGGCGATCCACCCTGCATAGGGGAGACTCTGCCAAGGTCTACCTTTGCTTTGGGCACTGCTTGAGGGTAGACTTAGGCTTAGTTAATTAGGATGATTTGAGTGAGACCATGATGTGGGGATTATTCTCCATTAACTTGTAGATTTAGCCGTGGGTATTGACCTGTCTTGTGTTACAGGTCCTCTTGATCGATTGATTCAGGACTTGGACTAGGTTCAACTTGATCCTACAAGGATCACCTTCTGTTATCACTGATAACAGGCCGGTTGCAGATTCGTCGGTTCACGATTCAACTCCAATTCATTCCTACCACTCAACCTAAAGGCTTTAGCCTTTTGATTGAACTGTTTTGTTGTGTTTTCACTCGGACTTTATTGAATGGTCATCCAACAAAAGTACCGAGTATTTATTTAAGAGTTGCACGAGTGAGGCTTGTATGGCTAAAGCGAGGGGTATGAGTGCAAGGAATGGTTGAAGTTTACCCCGTGTAGTGCGTGAACTTCTGGATGAATCTTTGATGTGATTGCAAGTATGGTTGTGGTTCGGCTTCTGGATGTGGCTGCCTGCGATTACATACATATATGGCTGAGAGGAGTCCCACTGTGACTGTGAGAAGTGATCGTCCTATATAAAAATAAACCTTATGTATATATTTGTATGTGCCTTGGGCATGCGCGCGGCTTATTGTGATCGTGCGCAAGGGTTAACCAAATTATGGTTTGAGAGAAAAGGGAGATCCCCTTTCATCCTTTTGGTTTTTAGAGATTTTTATGGTCGGACGTTGGTCCTGGGCCGGGATTCAAGGTCCTTGTCCAGGACATCCCAAGCCCTAGACTCTGCAGGGAAGGAATCTGCCCGCGTGCAGAGCCTATTTGCCTTGCCTACCGAGACGCTCAGGCGGCTGCACGACTATTCCTTCAGTCGTGCAATGTCGTGAGGAATTAGACCCTCACAACACTTCGAATCTGATACCTAAGTGTCATAAGCGGTACTCGGATCCACGAGGGACCACTTGATTATGGGCACTACGTAGTACGCCATCATTGCGACTGCTTGCGTACGTTTGCATTGCGAGTCAGTAAGAGTAGGCCCTGCGTCCGCGCGATTTATACTAAGGCTCTCGCGCGACGCCTATCCGATTTCCGTATCGGAAAGTTATGGGACGACTGCTAAGGGACTAGGAGTGTTGTCGCGTTGTTCGATGTGTGTGTGTGTGTGTGTGTGTTTTATTTTTGTGTTCGTAAAGTGGTGTGCGCGTGGTGTGTGGGATGCGTCCTAGTCGACCGACGACGAGCCGCGCTTGGGACTTCAGCCCCCCAAGCTGTCGGTTCGCGTCCGGGCCCGATAGGCGTATTACCGCGCGTACCCCCTATGCTACAGCGAACGAGAAACACCCTCGGCTGGGCCACCCCTGCGATTGCAACCGAGTAGCTTTCGTACTGTGGACTGGTAGCTCGACGGGGATGCGCCCACCGAAGGGAGGCGACAACTCTCGTAAGGTGGAAGTAAGTTGTGCCTCGCGTAGGCCCTATCCTGTCATAGGGGCTCGCGAGAGGTATGGCTGGTGCAGTTGCCCGGAGCGGCCTAAGGAAGCTCCATTTGTGTGTTTGCGGCAAGGTTGGTCCAACTCCTGCGTGACGCGGCCGAGAGGGTCCCGCGCTGCTGCAAGCGGTGCCGGACCGATGCGCCCGACAGCGGATCAGGAAGCGCTCGTGCAAAGCTGTTCAAAACCTGGGCAGGTGTCAGTCCATGGTCGAGGCATTGCAACAATTCATCCATGGTTGCTTTCAAGGCAGAGGTGCTCTTCCATTTCCTGTCAAGGAGGTTGAGGATCAGCATTTCCGTGCGACGGGCTAAGTTTTTGTCCTCAAATATTTCTCTAACCGCCTTAAGAAAATCTTCAATTTGAGTCTGTTGTGAGAATTGTACCATTGAGCTGCACCCCGCCTCTTTCTGCAGCGAGATTGCGAAACTCATGGCATCGCCTCCCATGCACGAACTCGCCATTAACACCCTGTCCCAATATGGGATTCGCTGCCCATATACGTACGACTATATTGTTGCTGCCCAGTGCAGAACACTCTTCTTTCTTCCTGCTATAGGTCCACGGCAGTTTGAGTTTAATTTTACTGACCTGCCCTGCTTCCTGTGGAAGTTTTCCCTTCGGATCTCCAACTTTTTTCCCTTTTTTGTCATCATCACCGTTGTCATCACCGTCTCCTCCTCCGCCTCCAGCTCCCTTGACAATCTTTTCTATAACCTCGGGAGTGAAGGTCTTGGTGACATGTTCATCCAAGGCCCTAATGTATGTCTGGATGTGTTGGTCAACATCCTCAATTCTCGCCTTTTGGCTGCGAACAACTTATTATTCAACTCAGCCCTCTTCTCCTCCAGCATCAAATTCCATTCGACTGTGTCGGTTAAGTAGACAGCTTCGCGATGAACACATCCCGTTCCACTTCAGACTCACGTAACGGTTCGCTGGAGTAGCAGTACTGACCAACCCAATTCAGTGGTTCAACTGGAAGTCTAGTCGCGGAAGTATTGCTACTTTCAGGAATGTCAAGGTGACGACGTCTTACTAATGTCTCCCCTTCTCCCTGATCTTCCTTTTCTTCTTCTTCTTGTATGCTCTTCAATTCTTTTTCTAACTCTTTCTCCATCTTTTCCTTCATTTTCCTCTTTGCTTCTTCTTCTTTCTGTTTCTTTTTATCTTTTTTCTCTTTCTTTTTCTCTGCCAATCTACGGTCAATTTCTCCTTGTTCTGCAGGTGTGGGCCCTGGTGTTGCTGTCCCAGATCGAAGTAACATCCGGGATGCACACACGCGTTCGAATCCCAAGGGGAACATCAACCGGAATAGCGGGCCCAACAGGACAGAGAGGGCCAACAGGCCCTTGATGGGATAGTCACCCATGGTGATGATCGACACAAGAGGTCCTCCGCCGGTTCACCACAACACTATCCTAGTCAGACTTGCTTATGAACTTAGTCTTAATTCATGGCGAATGGAGTACTGAATTTCTCTCCTTTTTTTCTATTTTTTTTACCATAGAAGGTGTTGCACACAATGAATACTCAACCAAACTTAATACAATGCTTGTTGGCTTTTTCTATATATGCATATATTATTTTTTTCTTCTTCTGTCTGGTTTTCCTGGATCAGACTCGTGCAATGTGTTTCCTGTACCTCGTTGTACTTCCCCCTCTATGCTTTTGTCGGAATAACTAGCGTTGGTTGCTTGGATGCAGGTATGGAGTGAACCGACCTTTCAAGACAAAGTATAAGATAGGACAGCGGAAGACTTAGATACCAGTGATCCGAACAATCAATATTGCAATGCAGCTCTGAACATGCATCATCGTTATCGTTACACACAGTGAATGGGGTCTGGCGCTTCACACAGGAAGACTGCGCCAGCCCCTACCATACACAGACGAAGAAGAAGGGCTTAGACGAAGAGGAGGGGAAGATGGGAATGTCGTCAACACCAAGTCTCGGCACAGGCCCAAATAGTCCCTCGTCGAAATGTCTGAATCCCAAATGTCAAGTCTGGATCCAATGTCGTCAAGTCTCAAGTCACAACTCTGTCTCTCTGTAGTAGTCCACTAACATTGAGAAGTCAGGTGGTGAGAGGGGAAGAAGAGACGGTGGATTTTGAAGAAGAGGAAAAAGAACTCTCTCTCTCTCTCTCTCAGTCCGTACTAACCTGTGAAGTTGGCGCCTTGATGCAGGTACCTCGAGATGGAGCTGGAGCTATGGCGCCACAGGTAAGTCTCGCTGGCCTTCGCCAGCCATCTCTCCCAACTCTACGATCTACCACCTACTAGCGCCCAGTGCTGAAGACTACAACTATGGCTATGGGCGCCCAACGCCGAAGACTACTACTAGCGCTAATACTACTGCCTAGCGCTGAAGACTACTGCAGCGCTCCTCCTGAATGCTGCGGCCGAATCCTGATGACTACTCGTGCCTACTGACCACCCCCTGGGAAGTGCATGGGAACTTCCTATGTACTACCGGGTGCCTCCTGACTGCAGGCGAGCAGTCCTGGAGGCTGCTCTTGCCAATAGCTGCAGCCCCTGCTCGAGCTGACGTGGGGAACAATCTATTTCTGGCCTGTTCCGGAAACCCTGTTTCCGTGCCTGAGTCTTAGGTAGGTCGAACACAATGAGGGCCTGAAAATGACCCTCCGTTTCAGGCTGAAAAGCCTTTGGGCCAGAAAGGCCCAGAAATAGGCTGAAAACGGAGTAGGGCCTGCAGGCCCTCGTTTTTCAGCTTTCAGGCTGAAACGACCGGGGCCTATAAGCCCTAAGTTTTAGGCTTTTAGGTTGAAAGTGCGGGACCGGCCTTGCAAGGCCCGTGTGGCTACGCAGTATGCCACCCCCCCCCTCCTTGAAAGACCGAGCTTACCTGCGAGGGCGAAGCTGTCTGTCCGAGGGAGGGACCACAGTCCGGGTGGGAGGGGCAGGTCGTGGAGGTCCCTTAGCAAACCGTTGTCGCTCGTAGTGAGCGTAGATCAGCGGTGTGGATGCTTTCAAATCTGCTCCTGAAATCCACCGAGTGTCGTCGGGATCGTATGCTCTGAATGTGACTTTGTACTGTCGCGGCTTGCCTGTACTTGCGATCCGAGATGACGCGGTTAACCTCCTGATGACCATCCATAGATGGAGGGTCCTGCGATCGTCGGCCCGAAAAGTCGTCGCTCTTAGCTGGCGTGTATGTTGCCAGCTTCGAGGCGTGAAAGACTGGATGGACCGTCAGATGCTCGGGAATGTTGATCACAAATGAAGGGCCATCGGGCTCATCGCCCGCGGCTGATGTCACAGACCATGGTCCAAACCACTTGGGAAGCAGTTTGCGTGAAACATCATGTTCCAGTGCAAACTCTTCCGCGGAGACCCAAACCAGATCACCGGCGCGGATGGGACATGGCACGCGACGCTTGTTGGCTTGCTGCTGCATGCGGACTTGAGCCTTTTGCATGTTCGCGCGGGCTTGAGTCAACAATTCCCTGTACTTCCGGGCGGAAGTGGGAGAGCAAGCGGCGTAAATGTCGGCTGGTCGAGGGAGGAGAAGGTCGGCGAAGATACGGCCTTTCCGTCCACCGTGGTGCAACTCGAATGGAGTCACGCCGATTGTCGGGTGCACCGAAGTGTTGTAGGCGAGCTCGATGTCGGGGAGGCGGTCAACCCAATTTTTCTGGTCCGGACGGATGAGCGTATGAAGCATCATTTGAGCGGTTTGATGTGCCCGCTCCGTCTGCCCGTCTGTCTGTGGATGCCGAGCCGAACTTGGCTTCATCTTCGTGCCGGACTCCTGCATGAGAGCAGTACAAAATGCCGACATGAAGCGAGTGTCACGGTCGCTGACTATGTCTTCTGGTACACCGTGGCCACAAATCCAACCGGTGTGCAGAAGGTGTGCCAGCTCGGGAGCCATGGAGTAGTACTTGCAAGGAAGAAAACACGCGTACTTACTCAATCGGTCCACAACCGCGAGGTTGCCGTCGTGCCCGAGCCGGTCGCGAGGGAATGGACTGGTGACGTCCATGGCAATGGAGAGACCGGGTCCCCGTGGGATGGGCATTGGGCGTAACTCGCCATAGGGATTGCGGTTGCGGGGTTTGCTGCGTCGGCAAACTTCGCAAGAGTCGCAATACCGAGTGACATCGGTAATGAGGTCAGGCCATCGGAATTGTTGTCGAAGCCGTGCAATGGTGCGGTTGACTCCGAAATGGCCAGCGAGTCGCGAGTCATGGTACTCCACGAGAAGGCGAGTTCGAAGACGACGGTCTCGTGGGACATACAATAAGTCCTTGCCTTTCGAGTGGAGGAGCAAGTCCCCGTCGACAATGCGATAGTGGCTGGCCGGCGGGTGATCCGAAGATAGCTGTGCGTATAGCGTGGCAAAGTCTGGATCAGACTCATATGCCCGGATGAAAAGTCGTTGAAGCTCCTCGTCGAATGTGAAGGCATGATGTGTCATAGCGCAAAGATCAGGTCTTCGCGAGAGTGCATCTGCTGCGCGATTTGAGAGGTTGGGAAGATGTTTCGGTGTGAAGTCAAACTGGTCGATGAAGTACATCCATCGTCCGATCGTGCTGCTCACCATATCCTGCGTCTTGTAGTAGGTCAATGGATTGTTGTCCGTAACCCATGTGAACCTACGACGCCCAAGGAGGAAGTGCTGCCATCGCTGGAGAGCCATGACGAATGCGAGCAGCTCCTTGCATCATCAAGCGAGTTGATGGGAGGCACTTTGTGGCTGAAATACTCCACAGGGTGTCAGTCGTCGTCGTCGTGTTGTTCCAAGACTACCCCAATGCCATAGCCGAAAGCGTCCGTAGTCACTCTCGTCGGTAGAGTGGGGTCATAGATGCTAAGGACGGGTGCCATGAGCATGGCCGTCTTAAGTGCTTGGAATGACCAGCGTGCGTCGTCATCGAATACGAATGGCACCTTTGGCGATTGTAATCGCGTCATAGGTGCAGCAATCCTTGAGTATCAGGTGATGAATTGCTGATAGTAGCCCGCCAATCTCATGAATGAACGAATGTCCGTGGTGTTGGTGGGCTCGGGCCATACTCGTAGGGCCTCGATCTTGTTCGCAAGCGGACGGATGCCTTGCGGCGTTACATAATGTCCCAAGTACTCCAGCTCTTGCCGCGCAAATTCGCACTTGTCGCGGTTGGCTTTGTACTTGGCTTGTCGTAGCCGCTCCAAAACGGTGCGCAGGTGTTCCACATGCTCCTCCAAACTCCGACTGTACACCAGGATGTCGCCGAGGTAGATAAGTACGTAACGATCCAGCATGTGTCGGAACTCCGTTGTCATAGCCGCTTGGAAAGTGGTTGGGGCATTCGTAAGGCCAAATGGCATAACCAGCCATTCAAAATGTCCATATCGCGTCTTAAACGCGGTCTTGTAGCGATCCTCCTTCCGAATCTCAAGTTGGTGATATCCCGACTTGAGGTCCAGCTTGGAGAAGAACTTGGCGCCGCCCAATCGCTCGAGAAGATCGTCGATGCGTGGGAGAGGGCCGACGTTTCTGATCGTCTGCGCGTTGAGCTTGCGATAATCCATGCACAAGCGCAAATCCTTGTTCTTCTTCCAGACGAAGAGAACAGGAGCATCGTATGGCGATGAGCTAGGACGAATCCAGCCTTTCTCTAGAAGGTCGTCGAGTTGTGCCCGAAGCACTTCCTCGCTCATTCGGTAGATGCAACCGCGTGGAGGTACGGCCCCGTCCTCGAGGATGGATCGATCCGATACTACGTGCGGGCCTTCGAACACGTCGTTGTAGGCGTCGAGAAGTTCGGTGATGCGTGGATCCGAAGATGAGTCCGTCTATGACGCGTCTTGGGGCGGGAGGGCGTGGAGAAAACACACCCCCATCTCCTCGATGTCGTCTTTGATGATGGAAGCTCGCATGCTTGCGGCGGATACCACGTGACAGTTCACTGAAGGGTGAGGAGGAGCTACCGTGCATGGGACTAGTACTCCGTTCTGATCACGAATGTGAACGGTGCGGCGGTAGAAGTTCACCGGGTGATCCTCGCTTCGTAGCCATGACATGCCCAAGATCATGTCGAATTTGGTGTCCAGAATGTCAAAGGACACCGCCTCACTTACGTGAGGGGCAAAGTACATTGAGACGTCGTCAATGCACCGGTCGATTGACTTGTGCGTGTGACCGTCCGCCAATGTGACTTGCGTGGGCTGGGACTTCCTTCGGACTCATGGGCCAAGGCCAGCGCGTACCATGAAGTCCTGACTCATGTAGTTGCGAGATGCTCCGCATTCAATCAAAGCGCTGCAGGTCGCCTCTCCGATCTGAATGCGTACATATAGCAATGGTGCGTCGAGGTCGTCGTACCGTTGCGTCTTGAACTTGCGGTCGATCTTCGCAATGTAGGCGTGAAGGTCGACAACCTCTACTCCAGCGTCCATCAACGGAGTCGGTACTGCAGTGTGCAAGTAATCCTGCAATTGTGCTTTGAGCACGTTGCAATGCGGTTTCGGCAAACGACCGGACCGGGGCAGGGGCATCCATTGGAAGTCCTCAAAAGTCAACGGGTTGAGATCTTTAAGACTTGACCATGACATTGAATGCCCGGCGGTAGATGACGGCGAAGCTGCCGAATCGGTTGCCGATGGTGATGAAACCGTGCATGCGGTAGAGTGTTGCACGTGGAGCGGTTGGTCCAGCGGTGGAACCAAGTGGACAACATAATCCTCGTAAGTGTACCGAGGACTTGCGATATTCGCATCCTCCCCAAATGTGTAGGAGGCCGCTAGCAAGGCGGCCGAATCTGGTGGAGTGGGTGGTGGAGTCGCCTCACCTCCCGCGGAACTCAGTTTCCCGAGTTGAGCCGAGGCCGCACATTCTCCTTGGCCTGATCCTGGCAAAGAGGTCTTGTGCTTGGTGCTGTTGCATCAGTAGCAGCAGCCGTAACGGCCGCGGTACTTGTACTCGGGCTCGGTCAAGCCGAACTTGACCCATGGTGGTGCTGGCTGTCCATTTCCGGCCGGCGATGCTGATTTCGCCTTCCCGTTCACTCGGGGTTTGTTGTTGCTTCGCGGCTGGACAGCAGCCACCTGATCTCCCTCACGTGACGCTTGGGTGGCTGCCGGGTCTTCCACAGTGGAGTCCGATTGGACTGCAGCGAACTGCTGCTGTCGCGGACCAGTTCTCACCTTCTCCACATAGGTTGGCTGTGACGTTGACTTCTCGTGTGCAGCTGACCTGTTGGTCTTGATGATCTCCCTTGCCTTCTCAATGATCTCAGCGAAGATGGTGTATTGCTCGCGATCACCAAGTGCCTCGCTCAGTGCAACACATGACCTGTTGTAGAACTCACGGCGTAGATGCGTGAATGGTAAGTCCAGATCGGGCACTGCCGCTATCTTCTGCCATTCCGTGAGCCAGTCACGTGTTGCTGTATTGCCCTGAGACATGGTGAAGAGACGGTTGATTGCTAGTGCTGGTGCGTCGTCGACGATGAACCGCTTCTTCCACAGCCGTGTTAGCTCTTCCCATGTGATCTTGTCCTTCAGATCCGCGACGTCGACGTCGTGGGTGGCATCCGCCCTTTGAGTTCATGAACAAGGCGCCGATGTACGCGTGTTTGGCTGCAGGCAGAATCTGAAGTTGCGTCGTGAATGCTTCCCACCAAAGCACCGAATCCTGATGTGTGTAGTCGTCGAACTTATCCAGTTGAAAGGTTGACATCTTGTATTGCTTTGGATTGTTGCCATCCGTGTTCGTCGACTGCAGTTGCTGGATCTCGGTCTTCAATGTGTCCAGCTGGCTGCTGATGGTGGTCGGCGCAGCGAAGGTGCTGATGTCGCCGAGCATTGCCACTACGTGGTCAACGCGTTCCTCCAGTTGGCGGCTAGAGGGTGCACTGCTGAAGGCACCAGCATCTGGTCCTGGTACAGCCTGTTCCAGGTCCAGTACACGGGCATTGAGTGCCCGTGCCGCATCCTCGTGGCTCTGCACCATCCGGCGGAGGTTCGCCAACTCCTGGTGCTGTTGCTTCAGATCCTGGAACAGCTGTTGCAGTTCCTGGTTCTGTCTCTCCAACTCGAACCGTTGGTAGTTGCAAGCATACAACAACCGTGTCACGAGTTTGGAGAGGAACTCCTTATGCTGCTCTTCCCGTTTCGCGTCGTCGCCGTTCGGTTCAAAGTGTCAGAACTTGAGTCTTTCGATGCTTGTGGCTTCATGCCGTTGCAGCAGATCCCGGGCTTCGTTGTGGCGAGCCTGGTTATCTGTGTCGGCTTCGGCCTGTAGCCGCAGCTTCTCTGCTGCTGCCGCTTCTTCAGCCTGTAGGTGGGCAGCCGCGGCTGCCAGCTGGCGCTGTTTCTCAGCCTCGATGAGAGCGATCTGAGCCGGGAACTGCTTTTTGTAGTCGGCAAGCGACTCATTGGCCAGTTGGCCTGGCATGCCCAGAGCTGGAACCGTCATGCTGACGTGGCACTGTTGTTTACGTGGCGCAGTGACGTGGCACTGTTGTCTTACGTGGCACTGTGTCTGACGTGTCACTGTGTCTGATGTGGCATTGTTGCTGACGTGTCACTGCTGACGTGTCACTGCTGACGTGGCACTGTAGCTGATGTGTCACTGTACCAAAAGAGGACTACTTCCCTTTTTTTTTTTTTTTTTTGTATATCTGTCGATCTATTGTGAGTGAGACATGTCAGAAGAGTACTATGAGCGAGATCTAGGCTAGGATCCGCAAAGTTTCGGCTTTCACAAAATGCGATCTTGAATTTTTTTTCTGCGAAATGGAGTAAAGATGCGATTTTCAGAAAAAGAACAAAATCCTGTTTCTGAGAATATGGCAATCTCCGAATATGCCTAATGCAATATTGGTAGGCTTCTCAAGATTTCGGTTTTCAGAAAAAATTTGCGAGATAGAATGGAAATTCGATTTTCAGAAAAGAATAATTCCGGTTTCCGAGAATATTGCAAGGAAAATAAGCAACAGCGAGATGACAATCCCAGATCACACCATCACATTGGAAGTCAAATAGTCACACCGTGTCCAGATAGCAGCATTGCACCAATAATACACCAATGGAGTTTCGTAGCACTGAAAACCAATGTCCGTGGAGAGCACACTCTCTCCTCTGCACACAAGAGTCCAGTTCCCTTACACTCACACTTGGCGCTCAGCGCCCAGCCTACTCCTACACAGCTACTACAGACTACAAAAAGACAATGCAACTGTTGACATCAGCAGCAGCCCGAAGTACTTGAAGATGCCGCCCATGCAGACCCTCACATCATCATCATCACCATAATCCTTCACCTATCCCCTGACTTCACCCACACCTGTCCTCTCTGTCACCCGAGGACCACCCCTGCGCTTCACTGTAGTCCAAGCCCACCAGCTATGGTGGCTGGGCTATGGCGCTGCCCTCAGCAGCACCCTCCTCCTCTGCACGACCGCACGTGCTGCACCTTGCCTCTCCGCGCTAGCAGCAGCCTACGAGCATAAGCTCCAGCAGCGCTGCCGCCCAGCATGCGAGTGCCTGAATGCCTTGGCCTGGCCAGAGCTCTTTCCTTTATGGAAAGAGCTGGCTGCTTTCGCAGCCTGAATGGGCTGGCCTGGGCCCAGAAGCTTCCGGAAGGCCCCGGGAGGCTGCTTGGATGCAGCAGCTACTGGGCTGCTGGGCCTCGTTCGGTTGGGCGCCCAACTGTCTCTGTATGAGGCTGCGATTCACGCCCAGGGCCTGCATTCTTTGAAAAAGCCCGGAGGGCCGTGGAAATGCCTGGGTTGCTCGGCCTGTGTTTCTTTCAACCAACTGGCGCGTCGCAACTGCCTGAACCCCAAATATGAAATTGACAGTCGAAGGCCTTTTGCAAAAAGCCAGGCCCGCCTTCACTTAGGGCGGGCACCTCCGCGTTCACTTAGGGCGGGTAAGGCTGCAGACAGGGCTCCATAGATCCTCGCAATATGACCACTTCTATCGTTATCCCAATATGTCTAGAAAACGAAATACTAACCTCAGAAAATTTCAGCTATGTATGCGAAATATCAGAGAAACGAAATGCTACTATCGGGAATTTTCAGACAAAACGAAATGCGATTTATCAGAAATTTTCAGATATTTGTTACGTAAAAACGAAATACTAATATCAGAAATTTTCAGGTAGAACGAAATGCGAATATCAGAAATTTCAGATAGTTGTTGCGAGAAAAACAAATTCAGAGATTTGACAAAGTCCTACTTGATTTACTAACGAGTAATCAATAGATCAAGCAAGCTGGCTATTTGATTGAGCGGGTCCTCTGAATGAGAGGTCCGCTCAGATACCAAACTGTTGCATACTGTAACGGTGCAGACCAGAACAAGAACCGACCTCTCAAGACAAAGGATAAGATAGCACAGCGGAAGACTTAGATACCAGTGATCCGAACAATCAATTTTGCAATGCATCTCTGAACATACATCATCGTCATTGTTACACGGTGTGAATGGGGTCTGGCGCTTCACACAGGAAGACTGCGCCAGCCCCTACCATACACAGACAAAGAAGAAGGGATTAGACAAAGAGGAGGGGAAGATGGGAATGTTGTCAACACCAAGTCTCGGCACAGGCCCAAATAGTCCCTGTTCGAAATGTCTGAATCCCAAATGTCAAGTCTGGATCCAATGTCGTCAAGTCTCAAGTCACAACTCTGTCTCTCTGTAGTAGTCCACTGATACTGAGAAGTCAGGTGGTGAGAGGGGAAGAAGAGACGGTGGACTCATACTGCACGTACAGACACATCTCCTGCATGAACAGACACGACTTGCACACCCCCTGGATGAACAGACATGACTCCTATATCTGAATATTGCAACTGTTCGTCCAGGGGCACAGTTGTGACCTTTGATATTGGCCTTTACTTAGCTAGGATGTGACTTTTGACCCAGAGAACATGTCCGTTGATCTGCTTTCACGAGTTGGGCCCTGGGCGAGTGACCCCACTATGCTGCATTTGCCGAACAGGGTCTGAATCGGGTAAAGGCCCTTTTAGAATAACTGATGTCCAGGCTAGTCTGTTAATCACATTGGGAAGCTCCCTGTTGCCTCTCCATGCCAGGCCTGCTACGTGCCTCTTAAGTGATTTTACAGCCTTCTTACCGAGGGCCCATATTGCAGATTTGCGAGGCTAGCACAACATTATTAACGGATGACGCTATGCCGATTAGGGGTGTCTGCCGATCATTTCAGTGTGCGATCTTCTCTAGCATGGGTTTCAAAATCCAGTCATCGTTTAATGTTGGTTTATCAAACGCTGTCAGCATGATTCCAAGCACTCTAACAGGGGCTGTTTCTGGTAACCATTTGAGTCTTCGGGTGGGTGCTCCCCTGGGTGATGGATCCCCCACCCAGTGTTTTGTTCCTGCAGATAACTGTCATGTCTGACACTGCTGCTGAAAGGCATTCCATGATGCAGACCCCAAATTCGAATCTCAGGGTCAGGGTCTCAGGTCAATAGAGGCCAAGTCGGCTAGTTCAGAAAGGTCACAGTCGGGTGCCTTAGGAGTCAAGTCCAACAGGCACCTGGTGAAGTGTCACATCCCAGAGGCAAAAGTTGCATTCCATAAGCAAAAGTCACGTCTCATATTGAAAGGTCATATCCCACAGGCAAAGGACACTTCTTCAGGCAAAGGTTGTCCCAGAAGCAAGAGTCGCATCCCACAGTCATAAGTCCATGTTCCACAGACAAAAAGTCGTGACTCACAGACCCAAGCAGCAGAACACCAATGAAAATTTGGGAAAGCGCCAGGCCTCAGCATTCTGAAGCAAACAGGCCGCGGTGCAGCGGGCCTCCATCTGCCGTGGCCTACCGCCAGGGCCTATTTGGCTATTTGCCAGTTCGGCCTGTGGGACCAGTCCAGTCCAGTCCTGTCCGGTACCACTGTCGGTACCAGGCCAGTCCAATCCAGTCCAGTCCGTCCGCTGGGGGTATACCTCAGCTGTTGTCTGTTTTTGAGATCGTTCTTCATTCTGCACTTTTGGAGTACGTGCGTGTTGAATACGCGTCGGAGCTGGGACAGAGCTGCACTGTTCCTTCCAGCTCCATCTCCATCTCCTCCCCCCTCAACCCTTCATCTTGATCCTGATGGACCGCCATCTCGGCAGGTGAAAAGGTGCAGCGGGAACGTTCCCCGCTCCCACCCACCCCGACCCCCACTGCTGAAACCCGACAGCGGGGGAAAAGGTGCAGTTGCGATGGAGCGAGAAGGCGCTGACACGTGGCAGAAAAGAGAGAGCACAACGTGTGCGCCAAGGCCAAGGCCGCCGCACGCACACACACACGCTACGTGCCCACGCTGCCCCGCTGCCCCGCCCCGCCACTTGGGCAGCTCCTGGCCCTCCGCGTGTCTAACCACCACTGTAACACACTGGCCAAAGTGTGTCTATGGCTTAGTAGTGCAACACGCTGGTGTTGAAGCAGGACAACAGCACGTGGCCATCTGCAGTGCCACGTGGCAGCTTGCCGTGGAGGTTGAAGACCCCCCTGGCTAGGGGGCTGCGCCACATACATATATATATATAGTCGGTGAAACTCCGACGAAACAGTTTGTCACAGCCCCTCGTTTGTTGTCCTCTTCTCCCTCTCTGCCTACGGTTTACCGGGCAGTTCTATTTGACGATATATATATATATATATTCGCTATTTTTCCACTGCTGCAGCAGCAGTTTGGCAGCAGTTCAAGATTCCACCCTGGCTATGGGGCTGTGCAACTTTGGCAATAGGGTGGCTGATCAAGATCTCAGCCAACCTTGAAATATCATCATCATTGTCTTTTATTGCTGCGGCAGCAGGCCAGCAGCATCTTGAGTGGATCTTGGTAGTGCTCTGCTCTTGGCCACCCAAGAGCTTGGTATCACCATCCTACCCACTAACCTACTCTCCCCCAACCCCTTTTCTCTCTCCCCCCCATCATCTACTCATCCTTTCTAACCCTACCACTACTCCCTCCTCCTACCTCCCTCTTCACTCATCTTCCTTAACCTTCTTCTCTCCTCTCCTCCCCACTCACCATCTTCCACTAATCTCATCTACTCCTCTCCACCTTTTCCATATCCTTTTCCCATTCTACCACCCTCCTCTCCCTCTTTCCCTCCCAACTACGACCCTATCATCTCCCCCATCTCCCACTTCACTCTTTCTCTTTCTCTCAGCTATTTCTCTCTTTCTTCATCACTCTTCCATCCCCCTCCCCACCGAACTTTGAATTTTTCTGTTTTTCTTCTTTTCTCTTTCTCTTTGATTTAAATCTCCTCTTTTTCTCCAAAAAATCGAATTATCTTACTCCCCACCTTCTTTCCTCATTTTCTGATTTTTTTTTGTTTTTTTAATTCTGAAAATTTGAATTTCTTTGCGGCACACCCGCAAAGATTTGACCCCGTGGGGGTAACAAAGTGTTGCCGAAATTTTCTGTTTTTTTCTTTTACTTAGTCTTTTTCAGCACATTAGCACATTTTGACCCCTTGGGGGTAGCGAAGTGTTGGCAAAAGTTTCTCATTTTACTTCGTCTTTCTTCTTGATGGCACACTTTGACCCCATGGGGATAATGAAGTGCTGCCGAATTTTTATTATTTATTTTATATTATTTTTATCTCGAAATTTCATTCTTTATTTTATTTTTTCTCCCCCTCCCTTCGATGGTTACTATCTTCTTTTCTTGATTAGGTCGGCGCTACCCTACTCTG